TTACATTTGACAAAAAGGTCAAAAGTGCATGGGCAGTTTGACCTTTTGACACAAAAACACTGCAAAATTGAGCAAAATTTAACTTTGTGTTTATTTGTGTTGCATTTTATGGCGAGTATAAATAAACCAGGCTTTACCCTCTCATTGCAGATATGAAGCTTCCTGGTTGTATAATCAGGAGTGGTTGCCTCTGACTGTAGAGTCACTTTAGTGCGTCCATACTCGACCGGCTCTCCCTCTTTAGTCGGCCAGTACATGTGACACTTCTCCTGTCCCTCCTCAACAGTGTTACAGAACTGGACTATGGTGCGGGTCTTAAACTCCATTATCATCCTCCAGAAATCATCAACAGTGGTCTTTAGAGGACCTTGTGTGACTATGTAAGCATTTCGCTGCTTGTAACCCTGAGAGAGAAGTAGAGAGAGAGAAAAGATGGAGGAGAAAAGAAAGAAATTGAGAGAGAGACAGAGGGGGAGGGAGAGAGTGAGAGAGAGAGAAGGGGGAAGAGAGGAAAGAAGTAGAAAGGGGAAAAGATGAAGGAGAAAAGCAAAGAAATCGACGGAGAGGGAGGGAGGGAGGGAGAGAGAGAGAGAAGTAGAAAGGGGAAAAGATGGAGGAGAAAACAAAGAAATTGAAAGATAATTGAAAGAGAATGATAAAAGACCCAACATAAACAAAGACAGATATAATGGCAGGAAAAAGAGATTTAGATAAATGCTCAATCAATACAAAATTTCCGTACTTACATCAACAAAGCTTGCATTAATATAATCAGATCCATTGCTACCATCAGGCCTAAGCCTTGGCCTGTGCATGTTCACTAAAGAACAAACAATATAAAATAAATAATAGGAAAAAATAATTGAAATACACATGAAATTATCACGACCAATACATATGTATTATTCTGGTATTACATGTATGTACTTACATGGTACAATTTCAGGGTATCTGTTCTTGGGTACGTTGACAGTAGTAGTACCATCAGAGTACATCATCTCACTGGGTTTGTATCCAACTTGATCCAATAACTACAAGGGGACAAAATATTACAATACAAATTATTGTGTGACCTAAAAGTCTTATGTAAAATCTTATATAATGCAGCAAATGGTCATGCAATGATATTTATGTGTACAACTAAATTGGGCCAAAAACCCTGTACAGGCATTTTGCCAAAAATGACTAGGAGAGAATTTTTCATTTTTATAATTTTTCCTGATGCATATATATGTTCTTATTACATGTAGAAAGTTTGAGATAATTCCGATCAAAATTAGATTTTTTACAAATTTTTAAAGTTGCTCTAAAATTGGGCCAAAGACCCTGTACTATAGTACAGGGTCTTTGGCCAAATTTCGCCAAAATTGACTAGGAGAGAATTCTCCATTTTTATAATTTTTTCTGAAACATATACATGTTTTTATGTTGTGTAGCAAGTTTGAGTTGATTTCGATCAAAATTAGATTTTTCTGTGAATTAAAAAAAAATACTTTGCTCCAAATGCCACAATGTACATGTACTGTAATTCGGTAGTACTGAAGTTTGTTTTGTGGGAAACCCTGCAAGCTTGTGGTTTCTACATTAGTACTACATACATACCAAAACAAGGAAAAACATGGTACTTTAATTTGTTGGTGCCATATTTCTATAAAATCCACTAATTTGTATACACATGCACTTCAATGGTTTAATATTGAAAATGTAATCCAAAAATCCCCAGCTGCCTCTGTCAAATTAAATGACTATACAGTATAACCTAATAGTATCCAGCTATACAGTTATTGATCCCCTAATCCCTACATGGTTATACCTCATATTGCTCCTGGAATCCAGTTATGTTCTTTCCTGGAATCATCTTGTGCATTTTGTTGACACGAGCCCTCAAGTTGGATCCAATTATCGAAGTATCACCGCAAGTGGTCAACTCATCCAAAGCATCATGAAGGAACACATACTGGGCCTATGAATAATAAAATAAAAAAGATTAATTATTATATATAAATATATGCAAGATACATGTACATGTACATACATAAAATTTTAAATTCTTTTGTAAGAATTTTTGGCAGAAAAGAGTACACACAGGTAATCAAAAGTCAATTAAACGCTCATAACTTATAAATTTGAAATTAGCAAGTGGGTTACAATGTTTTCACAAATCGAAAAGGATTTATAAGCATTGACTAGTAAAAACATGAACTATATATACATGTAAATGGCACACGTACATGTATTAGTATAGCTAAACAAAAAGTGGTAGTTTTGTTTTTATCGTTAACACACATACAAGTGAAGATGCATGTACATGTACATGTAAAATGATAAATGTACATGCATTTCTTATATACACTAACCTGTGTTTGAACCATGTACATTCTCTTTGATCTCAACTGCCTCAATACCTCATACACATTAATGGACTCCTCTTGCTTCAATCTGTCCATCATTATATCCAGCATGATAAAGGTACCAGTACGACCCACACCAGCACTGCAGTGGACCATGAGTGGTACGCCTTTATCTTTGTTGTGATCTTTCTGTACTCGCTTGATGAAGCTAATGAGTGAAGTGGCAAATTGTGGCACACCGTGATCGGGCCAGCTGGTGAAGTGGTAGTGACTGACTGTGAGGTCCTTCTCATCAGACTCAGCCTGGGGAGAGAAGGAGGGAGGGGTCATAAACTAACTGCAAGTGTTCTTTTTTATCTCTATCTCTTTCCCCTAATTTCTCTCTTTTTAAATCTCTTAAAATTCATTCCCTTTTCCCTCAATCTCTTCTATAAAATTCATGGCTTTTTCTTTTCTAATCTCTTTCTCTCCCTCCTTCTCTCCCTCTCTCTTTACCTTTGAAGCTTTAAAGTCACGGATAATATAGTCGGCAAACTGGACGAATGATGTCATGGTAACAGTAAATCCGTTTGGTAATTCCAAATTCTCTCCGACTTTTTCAGGCCAGTACTGCTCACATTTTTTCTGAAATTAAAAAAAAAATAGAGTATTATTTAAATTTCTATGCAACATATAATTCTCGATGAAACTGGCCAAGCCTGTAGTACATGGTCTAATTTGGCTCAATTTTTGCAACTTTAAAAATTTGTAAAAAATTCAAACTTAATCTGAATGAGTTTAAACTTTCTACACAACATAAGGGCATGTATATGTATCAGAAAAAATTATAAAAATGAAGAACTCTTTTTTTTTCATTTTTGGCAAAATTTGGCCAAAGTCCCTGTACTATAGTACAGGGACTTTCAGCTAATTTTGAAGTACATGTAACTTCCTTTTTTACTTTTTTACCTTTCCTCCTTCAACGACTCCAGTTAACATGACAATGTGGTTGATCCTATACTCCCATATTGTTCTCCAGAAGTCAGCAACAGTAGAAGGAAGAGGACCTGTAAGAGAGATAGACAAATAATATTAACAATTAACTCTTCATTAAATCAATCAAAAAAATAATAACATTATTATTATTTGGCTGAGATGCTTATTATACATTATATCAAAGAAAATACATACGTTACTAAATGCATACAGTAAAACATGTACATGTACATGCATACAAGTAAACTTTAGCTAAAATTCCAGTTACTTAAAATTTCCATTATAATGTATACATTTACATACACACATACATGTACACGTAGCAGGTGCATAAATTTATTTAACAAAAATGATACATACCTTGTGCAGCAATGTAACAGTCTTTCCTATTGTAACCCTAAAATATGATAAATAAATACATACATTCATGTCTTATGATTAGTATCTTACATCAATGTAGCAAGCATTTATGTAGTCAGAATCAGGAACACCAGGTAACTCTGTTAGCTTCACTCGTGAGAAATCATCTTTAAAAATAAATAAAATAATAATAAATAAGTTAATGTATGTACATGTACATGTATAAAGACTAAATCTTATCCAGAAAATTACAAGTATAATAACAATAATAATAATATAATAACAATAGTACTAGTAGTTGGTATAATGGTAAACACTTTGTACCAGGAAATTCACAATCTCCATCAGCTCAATACCTAACCTCCCCCATCACATGCACATGTACAGCTATAAACTTACATGCAAATACATTATCAGACATTAAGTACATTCAATACTCAAACAATATACATGTGTACATATGTACATGTAGTGCCCTGAATAAAGAATAATGCCTAGATATGCATGTACATACAATACTAAGAATTAAGTACATTTAATACTTAGACAATATACATGTGTACATGTACATGTAGTTCCCTTAATAAAGAATAATGCTTGGATATGCATGTACACACAATACTAAGAATTTATCAATTATGATAAGGCCAGACATGGTAGTACCAGTCACTCCTTAACAATAGATAGTTGTGTAAATGTTCACTAGGAAGTAATGGCCCATACAATAACAGTGGGCATACCAACAGAATAACAGTTATTGGAGCAGTGATACTATAAATAGCTTTGGAGGGTTGTTACTAAAAATAGCCCAACAGGCCTAGCATACAAAACAATAAATCAAATACCGTATAGCCAAAAAATTTCGTGAGGAATAAATTTTCGTATTTTCGTGATTACTGCTTGAATCACGAAAAATTAAACCCCCGAAAATAAATATTAATTGAGAGGCGTGGTTAACCACGCCTTAGACTAATAAACGTGCCCTTGTGTCAAGTCGTGTTCTCGGTCAAGCTGATGTCTCTGTTACTCTGTATTGCTATTTTAAGCATACTGCCTAGGTCAAAGATGATCTTCCCCATCTCTGGTGTCCACACTGATTTGTAGACATGGTGCCCCTTGACACAAGAGTCCGTCTCAAACCATGTTTTAATTAAATAAGGCGTGGTCATTATTATTATTATTATTAAAATAAAATCACGAAAATATTTATCACGGAATTTAAAATTTCTCCATAAATTTCATTATTCACGAAATTTTAAGCCTCGAAAATTTTTGGCTATACGGTATTACCATATAGCTAGAAAATTTGGAATTTAAATTAGCAAATTGACTTTTAAAAGAGGTTTGAAGGTTAAAATTTTGGCGAAATTTTAACTCTGTGTATGCTTCTATGGAACCCTATCAAATTGGAGACTAAAAATTTGGTGAATGGTCCCCAATTTGCCAAAATTTTACTCCGCCAAATTTTCTAGCTATATAGTAGCTCATTTTGTAAATTTCTAATAATAGCTTGTAATGTTTCTAAAAATAGCTCAATCCTATTTAAGGTAATGATAACTTACATGGGAAGATGTTGGCAAATCTATTTTTAGTTTTGTTTCCCTCATTCCTTCCAATGTCAAAGCTCGTCTCAGTTTGCATCGGAACAGACTAAAAGAAACAAAAAAATTTGAATGTTAGACCACACCCATCGGACACACCTACCTTGTACTCCATTTCAAATCCTTTGTCAGAGTCAACGTGCATCTCTTGAACGTGTTCGTGGAAACTGGCTACAGCAATTGGTTTCATTCTCTCAAGAACTAGAATAAGAGAAACAAGAAATTAAATAATACAAATGTACATATATACAGTTTCAAAAAGATAACATTAAATTGACTTCCAATAACAAAAACTAAAGCCTGAGTGCTAAATACTTTAACACAAAATTAACATATACCGTATAAGATGATTTGGCAGAATTTATATTGGCAATTTTGTGCCACGTGCCATTGAGCATGCTCAGATTGAAACAAAACAGCAAATTTTATATTGGCGATTTCTTCATAAATCCGCCAATTGCCAATATTAATTCCTTGCCAATAAATCATCTTGTACGGTAATGTACATGTACATGTATTATCCTACCATTACACCATTGTACATAGTACTGTCATTAGCTTATATAAAGGAGGAGAATGGAAGCCACTTAATCCACCCACTACTAATGCTAATGGACACTTGATCAATTGTAACCTGGTGAGTATTGAGCATTGAACCAGCAAAATACATGTAGATTGATAGTAGCAAAGATGTGTACTATTACATTATTATATTAATGTACTGTAAAAGCTGTCTATATTTCCAAGTAAAATGTTGCTAGGTACAAATATACATTATATAATATATGACATACTCATTTCCTCATCAAGACGATCATCAGGCTTCTCCTTCACGTCATCATCTTCCTGTCCATCAGCTCCTGTTACCACTGGGGCTGAGGCTCCATTAGCATCAGGTCCATCATCCAACTGTCTGAATGAAGAAGTGGCTGTTGGTGTCAACGGGTTGGACTCAAGCAACTCAAATAAATCTTTCTTTTTTGGTTTGCCTCCAACAGTGAATTTATCAGCTTGCTTGCCTCGACTGTAAAATGAGTGTGCATAAAAAGAGATCGTGAATTATGGAAAAGAGAAAGATATGCATATACATGTACATGGTATAGCCCAAAACTTTAAATATTTTTACAAAGTGGGCTGTTTGGTTCTAAAATACTAATATTTTAATTGTATTATATGTATTAGAGTCATGCTTGCATGATTAGGCTCATTAATTAATTCAGATTATTTGTAAAAGTTTACCACTTTTAGAAAAAATTTTTTTATCATTGAAAGTTTAGGAAAATTTTTATCACTGAAAGTTTTGCGCAATATACATGTAGTATGTACAACATACATGTACATAAACATGTAGTCATGTACAAGAGGAAGATAGAATATTTATGCATTTACGTATGAGGGAGAGAAGGGAGAGGGTATTTCTCTTAAACTCACCGGACAATGAATATTATAATGACAACAATTAATACAATCAGGAGTAGAGCTAGGACCACACCAACAACAATACCAATAACTACAAAACAAGGAAAATAAATAAATAAATAAATAAATAATGATAACTTACTGGTACTAATGTTAGAACTTGTAGTTGGTGGAGCAGTAGAAGCTACAGAAAGTAATAATAATAAAACAACAACAATATAAAAGCAACAACAATAATAATAATAATAATAATAATAATAATAATAATAATAATAATAATAATAAAATAGGAAGAACAATATAAAATCAAAGTTGTATAATAAGCAACATTAATTAAAAGAATGTACATCAACAGATACAAATACAAACAGAACTACAAGAACTAAGGGCTTCACTCAAACAACTAACCTAATCTATCTACTACCCTATATCAAGTACAATACATGACATATACATGTACACTGCACTGCTATTGATGAACTAACCTGGTGAGGATATCTCAATGGGTGGGCTAGTAGGTCCAGCAATAGGTCCCTGGCCTGAACCATCATCAACAGACAGACCCATTGATACAGAATAAGTAGCTTGATCATCAAGATCAGTAGCAGTATAACTGGTCTCAGTAGAAGGGACTCTATATACTAAATCTCCTGCCTGTCTCTTTCTGCTGGATCTTGAGAGTCTTATTGTGTATTCAAAGAAACCACGGGCTTGTGTAAGAGACACAGCATCCCAAGTAATAGTCATATTAGTACCGTCATCAGATCTTACTGCTTGGACATTACTAGGAGAGACACTGGGAGCTGGAGTGGGTGAGGGGGAGAGAAAAGATAAGAGATGAAGCAAATAAAAGAAAGATGCATGTAAGATACCGTATAGCAGGAATTTTTGGAGGGACTAAAATTTGGTGAATTGCTAAATTTTGGTGATTGGTGAATTTGTGGCCACGTCCCATTGGAGCATGCGTATAATAGCTCAAAATGGCGGACTTTTATTTTGGCAAATGGCTATCAAAATGACAATTTCGCCAAATTTAATCTCTTCCAAAATTTCCCACTATACGGTAGATTATACATACATGTACAACAGACGAAGGAAGATAAAAAAACAAGATATTACATGCACATCACAAATACAAATAGAATACAAGCATATGTACATGTACACACACACCTACATACAGTATGTACTTACTCAAAACTCTAGTAAAGACAATAACTCTAACTGGGATTCCTCTACCAAACTCATTATAAGCAACCAGAGTGACACTATATGGTACACCAGGAGCTAAAAAACACAACAAATAAAACATGAAGTAAAGTAGGAATTATGATCCTTTAATTATAAACAATTAAAGTTGATGTACATGTAATGTAATGTGGCCATGCTTAATAGTGACCCACTTACTTAATGCATTATCAGTAATCAGTACTGTAAAAGAGTCTCTGTCAACATCAGTAATTGTACGTCTTATCAATCTATTTCTAGTAATATATCCATCAACTTCAATGGTATAGTTCATAATGCGTCCATTTGGTGTAGTAGGAGGATACCATGTCACATTAATGGTGTGATTATCCACTGATGGTAATGTAGTAAATATTGTACCAGATATAGTAATATTCCTCGTCACCAATAGAGGAGGACTGGAAACTATTAAAAAGTGAAAATTAACAAATTATAATGAAAATATTGAAGGAGAGGAAAGTAATAAGAATAGAGGAAAAAGAGAGATACATGTAACTCACTGTCTGGTAGTGTTCTTCCTGCTGTATTAGATATAGGCCCAAACCCAATGACAGTGCTAGCAGTAACAGAGGCAGTGTAATTATCATAAGCACTGAAGAATCCTTCCTCATCAAGTGTATACATTAATTGATCAGAAGAGATATTCATAGTGCGATAAGCATTTGTTTCAATGTTAGTAACCTTAAGTTGATACCCAGTGATTATTCCATTACGTATTGATGGACTGGTCCATGTAAATGTAACTGTTGTCATTGTTGGGGTAGAAGTAAAGTTTTGTGGTCCATCATCAGGTGCTGTAAGAGAAAAAAGGAATAATTATTATCAATACATGCAAGTGAAAATTGCAGCCTCTAATGAAAAACCACTACAATGCACATGCATTGTAATGTAAAACTTACTATCTTGTGCTGTTTCAAATGTACACTGGGTAGAGGGTCCATATCCTACTACATTAATAAATGACAGATCACAAGTGTAACCAGTAAAAGGCATAACATCAGTAACAGTGAACATTGTGTTCATTGAAGTTTGTGTTGGGCTCAATCCATTGACTGATACACCATTAGTATTCATACATGTTAAATTATAACCAACTGGTGCTCCATTTTGATCTATTAGTGGTGGTTCAGTCCAGGTAAGTGTGACATTACGTGGTAGAAATGTTATATTAGCACAATTCAATGGAGAAGCCACTGGCACTGTACAGAAAGAGAAATATGAAAAGAAGACAAATATAAAAATGAAGAGGCAAAAGGATTATGAACAGCATCATTAAAAAGAGAAAATCAGAGGAGAGAGAGAAGAGAGAGATTAAAGGAAACAAAGGAGTATAAACACATTCACTCACATATTGGGATTGTTCTAAAGCTCATCTCTGCAGTACTAGTAGT